AAAAAATAAAATAAAATAAAATAAAATAAAATAAAATAAAATAAAATAAAATAAAATAAAATAAAATAAAATAAAATAAAATAAAATAAAATAAAATAAAATAAAATAAAATAAAATAAAATAAAATAAAATAAAATGAAATGAAATGAAATGAAATGAAATGAAATGAAATGAAATGGAATGGAATGAAATGGAATGAAATGAAATGAAATGAAATGAAATGAAATGAAATGAAATGAAATGAAATGAAATGAAATGAAATAAAATAAAATAAAATAAAATATTACGTCTAAATTTTATTAGTTTTATTTCCCTCAAAAACAGGCTCGTATGCGCGATTGGAGACTTGAAAGTGATACTTTCGAAAAACAAGCTCTCGGCAACAAAACCATATTCGAGTTCAGTACCAAATCATTATTCTTAAAACCATTAATTGCTGCATGCTTTAACATCTAAATTTTTCACCCAAAATTATTTTGATATCTTTACTTCTAAAAGCATATTTCCATTATTTGTTTGAGATAACAAAAATTACCCCTTAGGATCTTCACAAAGCGAATGGGACGTGCTCAATTTTAAGTATAGAAAATGTTATCCTTAACAATGACTTCGCATCTTTTTGAAATGGATGTCCCATAAGCTCATGCAATCAGTTTAGAATTCCTTTTTATAGGTAAGGTGCCTACTAGAGATCCGACTTTTAGCCTAAAAATATTTTAATGGGATTCAAATCAAGTGATCGGCACAGGAAATCACACGTTAGAATTCCATTCTCCTCTTTAAGTCATAATTCTTAACGCTTCTTGTCTATTTGCAAATTTCCCGTACAAAACTAAATTCAGCGAACACCAAGGCACACGTATGCATAAGGCGATATGCATTTTTTAAGCAATTCTCAAATATCCCCTCGCTTAACTTATTAAAGTAATACTTTGCTGGCACTCCCAACCACGGTCAAGGGTTCTATGCTTAACCCATCGCACACACTCCACCCGCTACGACCTTCAAGCCAAACATGGACTCTGCTTAAGTTCATGCAGAGGTGGTACCTTTATTGTAAGCATTGGCTGAGCACGTCGACGTGGTACAAAGATTTATCAGCATTCCTCACATTTCTCTCACCCTCGCACACCAGGCTTGTGAAGTGCGTAGATAACTGCCATCCCTAAATTGGCGCGTCAAGCGTCAATGAACTGTCTAAAAACCTCATGCACATACAATTTGTATGAAGCATCGTTTCGTGTTGAAGTTGCATGTAGAAGGTGGAAAGAAAGAGAGAGGACAAAAAGTAAGAGAGGAATTGAGGAAAAAACGAGAGGAAATAAGAAAACGTCAAATAAAACGCAACGCTAATCGCTCAATTTAGGGACGGCAGTAACTTGATGTGGCCTATGTCAATAAATGATTCTTAATAAAAGATAATTTCTACCTCCTCCATCTCCCTGATCGCGCGCTTTCCATCAGCAATACAATAACGATTAAAAGGAGCTTCCGGTTTCCGGTAGATTAAAACTTAGGGTTAGCTTAAAGTAAGCAAAAAATTATTTTCGCTTTCTATACACTAATGCTAAAAACATATTGGAGCGGCGAGAAAAGCGTTAGTTACAATTTATAACCCTACAAGAATTGTGTGATGGAAACTAACACATTCTCATTTATCTTACTAACACATTTGCAAATTTTTCGTTGGTTAAAAAGAGACCATTAAATAAGGACATAAGTTTGAGGAAGACGGAAGATCACATGTACACAAATGTTTACATCAGATTTTTTACACTGCCCTTTAGAATTTGATAGAAACTTGTTTGTAGCCAGTGACAGAAATCTCTATCAGTCTTGCCACTCAAATGATTTGTCAAATGATAGTCACTGTTCTTGCAGGGAACTTATAAACGTGCTCGTTCAATGGGAGCGCGCATAGTGAAGAGCAAATCGTACATGCATACACGTTTATAATCGATGCTCTGGTCATGCTTTTCCCGTCGCTCCAGTATGTTTTGAACCTGAGACTATCACCACTCCCTTGTTACTCTACTACATACATACATACATATCTATCTCTAGATACATGTATTTGTTTCTTTTACGCATGCATCTCTCTCACATTACATTTATATTTCATTTGGATCAGGCGACGAAATCATTGAATGGAACGGTCGAGCGCTACGGAATAAGTGCGCGGACGAAGTTTACCAGATAATCGACGAAAGCCGCTTGGATGCACAGGTGGAATTAGTTGTTTCACGTCCCTTGACCGTCAAAGTATCAGGAAGCAACGCAGCACGCAGAGCTGCTGGCCATCAACAGCCGCACACCGCCTTGAACAGCCAAAATCTCACAAGCACCATTGCTAACAGTGCTGTGGTCAGCAGCGGCGGACGTTATTATTCACGAAAAGGTACACAGATCAAGCTAAATTATTTTAACAGGGTGTACTTGTATATATTTACAAATATAGAAAAATACTTGATCATTAGCGAATGAATAAACTATAGTGAACATTTTTTGCATATTAAGTAAAAGAATGAAAATCTAATTTCTTACTCCACGATTTACCAGTCCTACACTTATCACATTAAACTAACTGGTTATTGAGTGCGTTTGCAGCCAAAAACAAATCATGATTGGCGTATTAAGTTTACTTAACGCATATAATTGTTAAATTAGTTTATTAGCGAAAAATCTCTGTAATGCCTTACACCGTTATTTAGAAAAACCGATTTTAATACATACTTACTTTTTCAATCTTACCACCTTCTTCGAACAGCACCTGCAACCGATGCCATCGACATCCACTGCGACAAGCCGAATGTTTTAATAACATCGCCCGGTTCGCCCGATTTCCACGCCACCACCGGGGGCGCGCGCACCTTTCGGCAAACGAATGTGCAGCAACGTGGCTACAGCGGCGGCGCCGGAACGTATCAGCAGCACTCAACGCAGCAGCATAAACCACAACACCAACGGCTGGTACCGAACGTCGCGAACACAGCCAGTGCAGCAACAGCCGGTTCACAAGCCACAACGACGGCGAGCCACCACCATCATTGTCACCAGCCACCACCGCCACCGCACACGCACCCACATGCCGCTGCACACCACTTGCCCACGGTGGGTGTGGCGCATACTCTGCCCATGGCCGTCGATGGCCGGCTTCAGATGAAACTCGGTTACGATCAGAATACCCTGCAGCTGATAGTGACGCTCGTCTGCGCAACGGGTCTGACGTTGCGACAAAGTGGCGCCGCACGAAATCCTTATGCAAAAGTGAGTGCTACGTACTCTAATAACACAGGGAAATAGCAAATGAACCTAATTACAAAATATATTAGGCCTGTTCAGGATCTTGTGCAAATGATCTTGCATATGCATATTTCGACAATAAAATGCAAACGGTTGCCATGGTCGAAGGCAATAAAAAATTACAAATGCAATACCAAATGCAAAGCCAAGACCATTTCCACTATATCCTGAACAGCCCTATTGTATATTGCGAGTTTTTGGAAAATTCCAACTGTAAACATATTAAATTTCCCCATTACACAACTAGGTGTTCCTTCTACCCGATCGGGGTACAAAATCAAAAAGACGTACCAAAACTTTAGCGAATACTTGCGAACCGCGCTGGGGCCAAACTTTCGTTTACTCGGGCCTAAGACGATCCGATCTCACCGGCCGTTTACTCGAAGTACGTAAATCCACGTAACGGAAATTCGAAACTCAAGACAAAAAATTTATAAATCCTTTCATTCTGTTCGTTTTATTTTCACGCTCTGCCTGGTCTTAATATTTATAAATGTATTATGCAGGTAACCCTGTGGGATTACGTGCGCTACGGTGCCAATGACTTCATCGGCGAAGTGGTCATTGATTTGGCTCATCATGTGCTCGACGATGAGGCGGAATGGTATCATCTTCAACCGCATCAGGACACTTCGTATCTCGTACGTGTGAATTTATAAGTTGTTGTTGTAATTTTTTTTGGTAACTTGTGGCTATGTTAGCAATGTTGAGTGTCAGTGTTTACAATCGGAAACAAAGAATTTATACAGAGAACGTCTAAAACCTAATAAATGCGCTTAAATATTTAGATCGTTCGCGTTTACAAACTCCTATGTATTGTATTTATCTATCTATTAACAAACACAGCTATGTATAATATGTTATTACATACATTCCTGCCGATAGTGATGTAGGAGGGTTTTTTTTCCTTATGAATAACGAGTAACGATAATGCTTGCATACCTGTTCGAAAAGAGTAAACTAAGTGACCTATTAAAATCTGGCTGCTAAAGAGAAAATGCCCGTTTCGCTCTAAGGCTAAGGACATAGTGAAGCGGCGTCACAAGCGACGAGTAAAGCGAAAAAAAGCAAAAAGTAGATAGCCCATAAGAAACGAACGATACTTCTACACAAATTAGACGCTTATTTGACGCTTCTCTGTGGTCTTCATGTTTTGCCTTATTTTCTTGGCTTAACGGCACTTTATCGTCATTTTTTATTGGAAGCAGATTTCAAGTGTATTTATAGTTCTCATTTCTAAAGAAGACGTGAGCGCTCTAAACCGGAGGTGGTCCTATGTTCCTTGCGTTATAAGGGTGCTGAGAGAGAGATTGCCAGACACATAACCTCTATTAACCCGACCGGCTTTCCAATATCTATCAGATACATACCCCAAAAGTACGACAACTTTGCCTAGCAATGATAGTTCGTTATCTTAAAACTAGTAAAAAATTCCTATGGCTCAAGTCAGAATTGAGTTGATAACAACGAAATGCTCCTTTTAACAGGAAAAATAAAAGAAACCCCCAAACGTTTCTGATATTCCAAATAAAAAATATTTATTTGGACGCCTTTTGTAAGGAACGATCCCTGCAAGCTACATACACAAAAAATACGAATATAAGTCAAACCTGTAAAAACGAGAGAGAAAATAAATACTTTTATACATGGTTTGTTGGTTTTGATGGAGAAAATTTTACAATCCAAAGTTAACCTACACTTAAATAAAATTTCACAAGAAACATTTTCTTATGGCATGATTGATTGATTTATTTCTTATGATATTGAGGAACACAAGTAAATCAGTAAATATTGGAAACTGTCACGCATATTCCTCTCATCCAAGCTGAAACTGGCACTAGCATAAAGGCTGGTATTCACTACGTCAAATTCAGTGGCATTTGTCATCAAATAAAAGAAAACACATTGTCAAATGGCATCAGAAAGCTGTTTATCGATTGATTTGGGTCATAATATCATCGGTAAAAGTCTGGATAAAGGAGATAAAGTTGTTTGTCAAAATATGTCGCCAAATTTTGGCATCAAAATATGACACAGTGAAAACCAGTCTTAAAGCTCGTTGAGTATTCGTGCGTGCAAGTGCTTACACTCTCACGCACAAATACTTGTACATACACGCTTGAATATAGTACATACATATAAGGAAATATGTACTTATATACTTGTATATGTGTAAGTACCGTATTGCTGTATCTACTTACTATTTACTCCTCCTCCTCCCTCTCCCACTCCATCATAGTTGCATCAGGACGACCACAATGAAGCGGACATTATGATTTTGACACCGACAGATCATTTATCACCTCCCAGCACAACGTCACGTCTAAGCGATTCCGATACGACGTCTGAATGTGACATCGATGGACTGACGCCGGGACGTGATGGCGCAAGCATATCCTCACTGGGCAGCTCATCAAGTCCACCACCAGAGGTAACCGACAAAAAAATTCTCGACAGTCCACGCATCACGTTTCATCTTTGAAAATTAAACACGGAAATTATTTTTAGTACAAAGGGCTCTATTTGCAACAATCACAATTACATATACATTAATATACACAAAATGTGCATACATACGTACATACATATATAAATGCATACTTTCACCTCACCTATGTAAATACTTTTTTTACACAAATTTCAACAGTATTGGGTAGGTTCAGAAGGCGCAGCAGTTGAGCGCAATTCTGAAAAATGTCGAGATGGGAAGGTTCGGTAATTCAAAAATTAATTTCTGGATGGGCAGGATCGTGATTAAATATTTTGTCCCGTGTCTCCACCTTAGATGTTTTTTATTTAAATCCGCGATGCACTGGGGGGAAGTATTTCTTTAAATAAAAGATCTTTTCCGTTCGACATAGTTAGAAAAGGTAGCCCTATCAAAGCCCTTTTAGTATTGAGATTTCCTTATTTTGGTTTTATTCAAGTTAGTCAGTTACCTGTAAAGAATTGCCTGAGTAAATGGAATTTCAACTTATTGTCTGCATCAAAGTTACGTTCCGTCAGGTTTAGGAGAGATTTATCGAACGAGGATATGTTCTCAAGAAACCCTAATCGAAGCCCAAATAGCCTGTCATTACTATTGGGACTAACGTTTTCGAATTTTGATATTTATGATCTAAAAACAACAACACGGATCCCGCTGTTGGTAAGAAAAGACAGCTGGTCAAGGACTTGGTCCCACTTGGCTTCCGTGCGTATAGTAAAGAAACGATTGTCTTGCATATAAATGAATACATGTATGCATGTATGATGGTCAAGAGTGCTATTTAAACATTAAAATGAACACAATTAAAGTCTGGCGCCGAATAACGTAATGTGACCAGTTCCGGGTTCTGAGTCAGTCTCGATCGCGTTTTTTTTTGATAATTTTGAATATCTAGGAAAAGCCTGCATTTTTATCTAGCTATCCACAATTGGCCTGTTGTTGTTGTTGTAGCAGCATAAAAGTTCCCCAAAGGATTTTTGGGGAGTGTTGCTGGAGTGACAGTCCTTGGCCAGATATAAATCTGGGTCGTTCCGGTTACGTAGACCCGACTGTCATATAGTCATATATCTTCATTTAACCAAACATGCATACATATGAATGCTTCACTCAAGAAATCACAATAACTTGTCCAATGCACAGTGGGCCAGAAGACTGAAAAAGTGGCCAAAATTTTTGCTTGACTATTTAAACGTGAAAAAAATCAGAAACAAATATTTGTATGGTATAGCTTATTATCCAAGGTATCGAAAAGTACCAGGTGTCCAAAAATTAGAAGACAAGTATTTTCGATTTTTTGAAATTTTAACAGCTTTGAACGTATTAAAAATTGTAGGGATTTATTTCATTTTCTGCCTTGCTTCTTGGTGTTTTCTGTGGAAAGTTTCTGGAAAAAAAATTAAAAACCAGAGTTGCTAGATATAAGAAAACTTATACATAATTATTCAAAGGCTCCACAGGATACTTCAAATTGTAGAGTAAAACCAAAACCGTTTGAAGAGATTAAAAAATATATTTTGAAGTGGGGTTGCCACTTTTCTAAAAAGTTATAATTACTTTTATTAAAAAAAAATTAATTATCACAATATGGGTATCAAACGGAAGGTGTTTGAACAAGCTTTAACACTAGCATGTCTTTGAATAGGGTTACTTATCTATCAATTTTATTATTTAATTTTTATTATTTAAGGAAATTAAAATAAGAATTTAATTGAAAAAATTTAAGTGGTGGCTTTTGCGTCAAAGTGTTTTAATAAATTCATTTAATTTTACAAAAATGGAAAAAATTGATTTTAAGAATTTCTTTAAAATTTAACCTGTGATTAGCATGCAAATTGTCACACTTCAATTTCAAGGCCTACCTAGAGGAGGTTACAGGAATAAAACACCCCACGTTTTTATTTTTCTTAGTCTTTCTTAGTTCTTACTATATTTTTTATTTTTTTTCATAATAATTTAATTATCGGAAGAAAAAAACTAAAAAAAAACAAAAAAAAAAACCTTCCATCAGTTTCAGGGTAATCTTACTTATGACAATTAGATTATTTTTATTTAGTTTTTTAATTTCATTAACGAAAATAATTGTAATTGAAAACTGTATTAACTCCTATGCAATTTTCATCATCATTACAATCTTGTGTAAATAGAATCATTGACAGTTTAATACATTGGTTCAGATGAATTTTTTGGAAAAAATTACAAATAATTTTTTGTCAAGAAATGTCGCACTAAATTTAAATGGTTGCCAATCAAAAGAGCAAAAATATGCAAATACAACATGCATTTATTGTTAAATATACTAGGATTTACGCAATAAATAAGTAAAAACAGCCATTTTTGAATAATGTGCAAAACCATGCTTTTACTACAAGATATGCACTTACGATTGAATGAGATTTTAAAGGAAATCTCACGATCCTAAAGATAAATTAAAAATTTCCATTTGAAGATGCCCAATAAAAACATGCATTTGCATGGGATTCCTTCCTATCCCTATCACATATTTGTATGGAATATGACCAGAAGGAAGGTTACTCATACGCCGTGTATTGCACATATTCATATACTCACACGCGTTTTCTTAAAAATTTAACAATTAATTATAAAAAGCGCAAAATATCCGCCGATTTTTTATTAATGTAAATATCTTTGGCTATAGCATAGTTAACTTTTTTTGTTGTTAACAGCGCACATAGGGGTATTTCAACGATTTATGCGGCCAACAACCAATTTGACAAAATTTTGGAGAAAACTTAAAAAATTAGTCACTTTCGATAGAGAACATTCCAAATAACATTTCCCAGTCCCCCCCACTTTTCTAACTTGCACGGCGATCGCTCACCGTTGACCGGAAACAGAATATTCTAACGCTGCTTATAAATAAATTTTCGCTCTCTAGAAAGATCGTGACGGTTTTAAGTTAATATTTTGATTTCTGCACTATATTCTTCAAAAGTAGTGATGGATCCGCATACAGAAGGTAATAGTGCATTTGAGGGTAAATTTTTGTTTAATAATTTTATTAAGCAAAAGTTCAATTTAAATGTAGCGAAAATAGCGGTTTTCAACGAGTATTTTTTTTGTTAATTTTTGTGAATATTAAGGAATTTGTTGTATCCCCGGGAGAGATCGCGTTATTTTCGTTGTTCAATTGAAAGCTTAAAAATTTGGCTAATATAGTGTGAAAGGACTGTCCGCAGAAAACGGCAGATAAGTTGTATTTCTTAACATAGAAAAATCTAAAAACACAACTAGTATATAGTAATACTACTTTAGATCTATTTTAGCACGAAAATTAAACTTTTTAGATAAATTTGAGGCCGCTGAACTAGAATATGAATCCATTTAATTTAACAAATAAATAGTTTTCGTGATATTAGCAAAAGTCATGTTTTCTAGGACCTTTCGGTCCTGTTGCTAGAGATCTGTGGGAATGTAAGGCGAACCCAACTATATTACATATTTCGGAATAAACATTTGTTTTCCTTTACATTGGTGTTATACAAGTGATGATTAAAGAAATAGTTTTGGGTATACAAGCGTTTAAATTTAGATAAATGTCAATTTAGATAAAACTACGATATTTCAGTAAATATTGTATCCAAATTGTTAAAAATTAGTATGTTAAGTAAAATTTTGGAACAAAATAGGATTATTATTAAATTTTTAGGAAGTAGGTGTGGCCCCGCCCACTTATGATGAAATGCTGTGTCTCAGTATCCGCTTCACTAATCCGTACCAAACTCGGTACGAGCCTTGCTTAGGCTATATCTAACATAACTGCGATAACCACGCCCACTTCTCATATAACGGTAGTTTACAGAAACGAGAAAACTCCGATAAATCAATAACCACTGAAGCTAATTCACTCTAAATCGGTGCTTGGAATAACCTCTTAGCATTAAATAAAATTATTATAATTTTTTGGATAATAGTCGTGGCGCAGCGCACTTTTGACCACAGATGTATATCTCGGTAACCGATTTATAAATTTGTACCAAACTCGGTGCACTTGGTATGGAAAGAAATGCGTTGAAAATACGAAAACTCCGATATTTCAGTAATTGAGGACGCTAATTTACTCCAAGTTAATACTTACGAAATTCTCTTAACAATAAATAAGACTGTTATTATTACAAAAATGTAGTTTTATTACATTGGGTGCGTTCGAGCTACGTAATAATTACCGCAATATTGCAGACTTGTTGCTTTCCTGATGACTTGTTGCTGATGCTCAACTTAAACTTTTCTAAAAAGTTGCAGAAATTGCGCAGTTAAAATTTATATGTTGCTTTTGATTTGCCAATGATGAGTAACTGATTGTCAAAATTCGCGTAGAACGTGATACTCTTTCATAAAAGAGTAACTCCGCCGCATTAATTGCACCTCGAATACACCCTTTTTTTACCTAAACTGCCGCAATTTTACCATATTGCAGCAATTCATTTAACTAATTGAACAAAATTTTTAACAGGTGGCAACCCTGTTAATATTTTAACATATGTTTACTTGGTTTTAAACATTTTCAATTCTATATGTCAAAACACGTCTTTTCTAAACATGTCGAGTTGAAATATCCATAAAAATAATTTTGGCCGCATAACTCGGCTAAATACCCCTCTGTGCAGCGGTGGCTAGCAGTGGCGATAACACTATGCGACAGTCAAAATCGGGATGGGATGAAACCAACGGGAAATATTATATCGGTCAAAAAGAAGTTATACGTGTCCCGGCGTTTCGCTGGGTCACGTCTAGGAATCGAGATATATATATAACTATCATATAGGGGAAATTGTCACCTTTGGGGGTCTTTTTTTGACATAACTCGAGAACCACTAGTCAGATTTTGCTGAAACAAATTAAAAAAATTAAAAATTACAATTCCTTTAATCCGTTCATATAACGTTTTTCTATATAATCAACAGTTTTGCCGGTAAAAATAAATGTATGAAGAAAAAAAATATTTTTTGCCTAAAATATTAAATTTTTTTAAAAGTGTTGATTATATAGAAAAACGTTATATTAACAGATTAAAGGAATTGTAATTTTTAATTTTTTTAAATTTGTTTGAGCAAAATCGGACAAAAAATACCACAAAATCGGACAAAAAAGACCACCAAAGGTGACAATTTCCCCTATATGATAGTTATATATATATCTCGATTTCTAGACGTGACCCAGCGAAACGCCGGGACACGTATAACTTCTTTTTTACCGATATAACTTTCCCCGGTAGTTTGAACCCTTCCCGATCACTGACCCCTACCATTTGTCTCACAGTGTAATCGGAATAGTGTACTTTGCATAAATATGTAATTTTTACTATTTCAAATGCGCTTTGAAACAAAAAATAATTGTCAGTATATATGTATTGTTACAGTACTTTTATAAGACTTATTGATAATTTAAACAAATTCAAAAGCTAGATCTGTAGTTTTATTAATAAATTGATACAATTTCGGTGGCGCTCAAATTGCCAAATTGCCAATTTCTTTTAATAAACCGCGATATGTGCTCTTTAAGTCCTTTCAAACATTTTAAGTTAAGGGGTATCTCGAAGTCTTGCAAAGCCCTTGCACGGTACATGGATTGTATGGTAAAAACCGGCTTTCCTATGGGACAGCTGTGCAAACCGTGCAATCCGTGCACCGTGCAAGGGCTTTGCAAGACTTCGAGAATACACCTAATTTAAAAGGGGTGCTTCGCAGGACTTCGATAATACCCCTATTGTGTCCAGATTGCATTGCAGAGCACATCAAGAACGCAATTCGGAATGGCAATACAAATATTTTGTGCCAAATCTATCGTCAAATTTTTCGGTAATCGATATGTTCAACTTATTCATGTGTTATTGTTTTATTTGGAAATTTAAATTGCATATTTGATTTAAATACTTTGCACATATGTATGTATTTATGTATGATTCATATTATGAGTATTCTCTAAGTCTTACCTGGGTTTTGGGTTTGGGTATTCTCTACCCCTATTATAATTTGTTAACTACAATTTTTTATAAGAAAATAAATTGTTACCTTAATCAGCAAATAAGTTTTAATAAAATATTTGAATATATTAGTGGGATGTAGATGCATTTATTTAAATTGTATATTTATTTATTTTTCGAGAGAGTAATAACGTGGGTGCTTCCCAAGAAAGGATACAACGCCCGTAGGCGCATTTTCCGCGCATGTTAATGCACGCCACCGCTATTTTATATATTTGTTTGCAAAGTATGCGGTCTTACTCGAGGATATTTTGTATAAAATAAAGAAATTTCTGCTCTTTATGATGAAAACTTTTATTCATCTTTTTTCGAGTAAGGCACACAACTCAGCTACAGCTTTATAATCGATCTAATGAACGTTAAATAAGCATTTGCATTACATTTTTATGGAAATAATCAGGATTTTTTAAGGCAACTGAAAGCAAGTCCATAAGTTATTCTGCACAGGTTACAAATTGAAATTGAAGTTTTTCGAATTACACCACCTTCAAAAAACTTCAATTCTCCTCCAGAAACATTTGATGCTCATGCGCAAAGTACATAGGCATTAAAATGTTTATGATTATGGAGTTATTTTCTCTAATAAAGAGACTTTAAAGAATCAGTAGAAAATACTGATGCATTGTCCATTAATTCATATCATTTATACATGAAAACTCATTTCATAACATTTTTGACAAATAAATTAAAATTTTTTGTAATTCACGGTTTGCAAAAGTATGTTTGTATGTATAAAATTTCCTTTATTTAATCGATGTTGTGTAAAATTTTTCTCTTCAAAGCCATGTTTTTTTAACTGGTTAACTGAAGCTTGGTACGATTAGTATGTATGTACATTTCTATTAGTTGTAAAATACATTCGCTCTCGCCTGGATAGACGCACACTTATATAGGAGCAATCGATCAGAATCTTGAATGGCTGTCTCTATTTTCTCTCTCTCTCTTTCTCTAACACTCTGGCTGTCTGTATATGCCTCTCTCTTCCTTGCGTGTTTTCTTTCTAATGAAAGTGTCATCTTTTTCTAACCGAACGAATTTACAGATTTCGACGACTAACGTATTTATGTGCAGATTTATTTAATTTTAGATCGTTTCGGCAACTTCAACAGATACATATGTTCGTGTATATAGTAAACATATTTATCTTTGTATGTATACATACACATATATGTAAACATTAAGTAATATAATACCGGTATGATTTGCTAAGAATATATGTTCATACAAATAAATATATACTAAATATAAATAAAAAAACGTATTTACATTTACATACATACATATTTCCAACTTATGCTAAATAATCGAAATTTGTATTATGTTTTAATTGTAAGCATAAAAGACATGCTCATATAACTGTTTAAGTAATTAAATTAGTTTAAGAATAAATTAACACAATATCTATCTTAAACGATATATCAAATGAGAACACATGCATAAAATGCCAAAACTGCGTATTTGACAAAAATGCGGTTGCTGCTTAAACTATTGAAATATCACCCGTTTTATTACATTTTCAAATCAAAGCATCTATTTATGACTTAAACTGCACTACTGTCTCTGCAAAATAATAGTAGATTCACATAAGTATCTGCAAATTGCATGTTGTACTATTTAAATTAAATTTTGATTTTTATTATGTAAGTGTTGCCTTGCATTAATTTATTCCCAGTTTGCTTTAGCTATGTACGCATTTGCTTCGAGGGAGTGAATACCTACAACAGACACGAATCGTTTATCCCATTCCAATGCTTTTTTCTATATACATACATCCACATTGGTAGCTGATAAGGATTTTCATACATAAATCAGAGCCACAGTTTGAGAACAGAACAACTGTATCCACTCAACACTCAACCTCAAAATCCAGCCAAATTCTACAAACATATATACTTGTGTACTTGTACATATACTACAAATATATGCCTCTGCCTCTATTTATTTGAAAATTCTACCACTTTGCAACCCTTCCAATATAAGTACTATGTACATCCGTATACTTGATATATGCCCCTTATAAGTGTGCATTGTTCACGAATTGATCACCCACCATTTCCTTTCCTTTCATCTCCTCTAAAGCCTCTTTACCACTCCGTGGCTTGTAATCCAGTATTATATGAATAATAGTATAAATTCTCATATATTTAGTTATATGAGCTTGATGATAATTTATATTTCTCTCTTTCTCTCATTTTATTTTCTCTCTTCTCTCTTGTTCACCTTCAACTGAGTCAACCTTCCAACGTTTCAAACAAATTTCGCTGCACACAACTCATCCGCCTTCATTTGTAACAAAAATTAAAACTTCATACGCCCTTCCAACTGAACTAAAACTAAAAAATTGGACATCAAAATAAAATTTTTAAATTTCGACATTTAAACATTCTGCAGATTGACTTGAATGAGCGTCGTTCGAGACGCGATATGTCACCTCAAGGTCGCAAGCGGGTTGCTGGTATGGTAGCGCGTGATTATCGTACGGTATCCGGCATTGGACAAAGTTACCATAATCAGGTTTGGAGCCAAAAAGTATTTAAAAATCATAAGTGTATGTGTAGTACAAAGGATTTTTCTACTAGTAAGGCTGCAAAATCTGTAAGGAAAATTAATATATATATATATATATATGCCAAAGTATAGGGAACTAGATTCTAATGGAACAATATTCAATATATTTTCGGTTATTGATTTGGGGTAAGAAATAAAAAGTGTCGGCCGCTGTGGTGTAGTGGTAAGCAGTGCGCGCTTCCAGTCCGCAGCAACTGGGTTCAAACCCTGGTCAAAGCAACATCGCAAAAAATATAGAAAAAAGTTTTTTTCTTAACAGCGGTCGTCCCTCGGCAGGCAACGGCAAACCTTCGTGTATTTCTGCCATGAAATATAGCTTCTCATAAAAATACAATCGCCGTTCGGAGTCGGCGTAAAACTGTAGGTCCCTCCGCTTTGTGTGACAACATCAAGGCGCACGCCACAAATCGGAGGAGAAGCTCGGCCAAACACTAACATGTGTGTAAGCGCCAATTTATTATTATTATTATTATTATAATAAAAAGTGTGACAGTTTTGAGCTCCGACTTTACATTCGCATTTAGTGACCTGAATCTGTTTGTATTGACTTAAAAAAATGTCATTAAAGATATAAACACAATTAATTTCAATTAAGTTAAATCTAAATAACAATTTCTTAATTTGTTTTCCTTCTGAAGGACCAAGATACATTCAGTTTCCGTAATAAAATCTAAACAAATCTTAGTAGAATTATTTCTAGTTGTAGTTCGTGTGGTAGAAGGGGGAAACAAACCAAGGCCGAACAATCTCTGACTCTACAGGCCTTCCTATGCGTTTGTGGGTTATCTCTATATAAAGATGTATGTCCTTCTAGCGAAAGTATAAAAACGCCAGTTCTTATTGCTTCTGTGATCGAGAGGAAGTCGACCTTTACAGTGTGCTAAAACGTCGTGTGGTAGTTTTTTCAGTGTTCTTGTCCACCATTCAGCGAGCACAATAATCCCAATTGAACAAACGATCCAGGGATAAAGCCACTCTTTTTTTTGGGTTAAGGCTCCACATCAGATCAACGATTCTTCTACAGGTTCTCATGGCCTGTTTTGTTTTACCAAGATCCATATAAGCAATATGTCCCGAATAATTCCCATATATTTGACTTCCTCTAAAATATTCCTGAATGGTTAAGTAACAGCCTTTTACGGCTTTATGCTGACCCCCCCCCCCATTAGTACACATGTGCATTACAGTGGAAATGTGTGAACAGCCTAAACACCAAACTGTGCAGCCTAAACACCAAAGCGCTCAAAGTTTCCCATGTATTTTATATGGAGAAAAAACTATTATTCGTAGAAAAGGTAGAAAATCATTATTTTTCAATCGACAATCTCTTTTTCTCTTCAGGTTACTTTCAGAAAAGCACTCAATCGTTTATTTAATAATTTATTAATATTAACTATTTTCTATGGATCCCCTAAAACCCGAAGAAATGCAATGGGGGAACCCATAAAAAAATCGTCCATATAAAACAAATTTTAAATAACCAATTGGGTAATATTTTTTTATGTCTCCTGAAGTGAAATTGAGTTTGCCGTTTGAAAAATATTGATATTCAAGGATTCTATACCATTTCAACGAAAGATAGTTTTTTCCCCATATAAAATACATGGGTAACTTTGAGCGCTTAGAGCCACCTCTAAATCTCTTTTGATTGACCTAAAACTTTGCATACTCAAGTCTTTAGGCTATTCACACATTTCTAGGGGGTGAGACTGAGAATCTAAACACTTTTATTTTTCTCCATATACCGATGTCATATGTGTTAAAATTGCACTTCCATTTTTATTTGACTGTTGCCACAAAAAATTTTAGTTCCCTTTAAAAAACGAACCAATGAACTAGTTCAATTTAAAGATCTGGCTTTTTCGCTCTTTAGCTCAAAAGCTCCCTAAGCCTACAGAGCACCTTTGATGGAAATAACACTGGTCAACAGTGGTTTTGGTGCAGAGGAACTATAATTATTTTTTAACTGAGGACCTTATACTGATAACATCTATCTCGGCAGCCTGTTCGAAAACGCCCTATCTCAGAAAATGACTCAAGAGCGCCCTACTTCAGAATTTGGTTGAGAACGCCCTGCCCCAGAATTCGGTTAAAGAACACCCTATTTCAACAAATACCCTATCTCAGCTGCCGATATATTGAATTTACGTGCAGTTTTTAAATTTGGCATTAAAAAAATAAAATAAAAAATTTCATTTTCGCGAAATTTCTGAATAAGGAGTGGTGGAAGAACCATATTGAATACTCTAGCAATGGTCAGGCATCATACGACGATCCCAACGGCCTTGGTACTTCTCTTCTGTAGGTTAAACAGGTCGTAGTAAAACAGATCCCATTGTTCTTTTCTATAGAATCCAAGATTATCTGGAAATTTATCAAGATGACTATGTCGGTAGTGCACTTTGATGGACGTATTACATCCCAAGGTTTTAAAACTCTTCAACATTTCGTTTACGATTTCGGAGTACTTGACTTGGCTGAAATTTTCGCCAAAATTTTTAATAACTTCACCGAACGAAGTCGCCGCAGGTCTTTTCAAATAGTTTATTGAACTTAAGAAATCAGAATCCTTTATTAAGTTTAATATTTAAAGTCCATCGAAAATTCTCGCCTTTATCTTTTCTGTGCTTAGACCAGAAAGTTTTCTCATTAAATAAGAAAAACATTCGCCTTTTTGTATAGCGTCTTAACAAATCCTTTCATAGGACCTAGCGTTACGTGCATGGGGTCCACATAATTCAATCACTTTAACTAAAAGTAGATTTACAATATTCTGCCGGACCAATTTCCAGAGTAAAGCCTTGCAAACCTGAAAAAAATATAACTTTCTTTTTAAACTGGAAGCCAATACTTCTGCAGATGCATTAGGTAATTTTAGACACGTTAAAAAATTATTAAATTCTCTCGGATGAACGGTTTAGGCTTTGTAGACGCTACCCTGTTACTGTTCACTTCACTGTAGATTTCTTCAAATAATGGGTCAAGGACGGAAGCAAATTTTAGAATACGTACATCCTGTGAATGCGTTAAGGGTCTTCTTGTCGAATCTAATTCTGCATAAATCACTTCGTTCATAATTTTGAAACTTTTAACTGTGTATTCATCACAAATGTAACTAACTACATTTATGCTATTGAGGGAACTTCTGCATATATTAAAAACAATTTATATAAAGAAATATTCCAACTGGTGTATGACCTCCTGCAGACAAAGGTAAGAGTGCAAAGAGCGGTGTATACTCATTCAGGTTGCAACCTTTCTTTTTAACTTCTTTGCAAATTTTCGTTGAATAATTTACCGTTTTAGTCTTCAATAGTAGTTCGATCTGATATCTATATTCCTTGACTCGAAGATTCTGTTATAAGATTCGATCTTTCTAGTTTCGCACAAATAGTTTTAATTATAAACTGGGACGATAATAAACTTCTGGCAAGGCAAATTGTTTCGAACAGACGGAATTGTTACCGATCATGAGGTATCGCCAGGTTAGAAGAAATCGTCCAACCCGCACACATTTTTGTGAATATTCTGTAGATATATGTACCTAAAACACGAATTGTTACTGCCCATAGAATTTATTTGGCTTCCTGTTTTCATAGTCCCGAGATCACTTCGATTCTGCGTAAAGAAAACGAAAGTATGTCATATAATAACAAACTAATTTATGCTGCAGTTGGTTCATACAACACCAAGCCAATGTTCACAAACTTGTTTTGTGTAACCACGGTTGTTGCTAAGGGACTTTCAGGGGAGTGCAACGTAGCCCGATAGAAAACTGTAAATTCATAAAGATAAAAGTAAAAAAGAAAACCAACTATTCGGCTCTCCATAAGTAAGCGAAATTCATCAAATTAAACTATTAAAGCTACAACTTTACATACATATATCGGCAGTATCGAAAATCGACAGCGTTCATTGTCGTTTTCATCAGTTACAAATCGGAAATTCCTGGTACACTCACGTCGCATTATCATTACGCCTGCGCATTAGAGTATTCCCACATATCGAGTTGCAGTAGCCTTTAAACCACTGTCCACACTTTTATGTTCGTATTTCTGGTAGAGCTATGTAATTAAATGAATCATCTGTGCCATTTTCCATTTTAAACAAAAATCGAATGTCTAAGCAATGTACATATGTATATTTAGTTGCCTGAAGAACTTTTGCTTGATTTTAAATTTCTAAGAACTGTCACACCGAAATGTTTCTTTTTAATCACTACTTATTGTTTAATGCTAATCAATCAAACGAATATATTGATTTAATATTAGTTACGATAATTAAAACTATTAAATGTATAGTGTGGGATAATGCCAGCGAGGCATATTAATAGACCAGAAAATGTTCACCTAAATTTTTAACTACTTTAGAATGGTTTCTGTTTATTTAATTTTTTCACTTTCGTATCTATCTACCACTTTCCGGTTACTTCATTCACCTGTCCGGCCACAGCAGGTGAGCACAGGTTACTTGCGTCGCAATGGCGCTATTACTGGACCCGGTAGTATGAGCCTCAGCCAGCGGAGTCACTCTGCCGCACCAACTGACAGCTACCACGGCGTGACCGGCACCGGTCACAGTTACTACCGCAGCAGCAGCCCACGGCGCGGCTCTCTCTCGCCGCCTGACGACCGTTACATAGACTATCCAGTTCTTCCAATAGATGCATCTGGCTCAGCGTACGGCCACCAATTTCCAGGTGGAGCAGGCACGTTAACAGCCACCGCTGGAGGTGCTGCCTTGGGCGGATTAGGGGGTGGGGCTGCGGCAACAATCGGCCCGGGTGCAGGGCAACAGACCCGTTTTCAGTCGCGGTCCGCAACAGCCACTCCGACGGGATCACCGAAGAAGCGACAATTACCACAGGCGAGTCACCCAGATGTGCCGACACTACCTCTTCTTTCTTGACCGCTCATATTCGTTTGTTCTTTCAGGTGCCACAAACTTCTCGCAGCGCAATGCTACGCGATCGCCTGGGTCAGGAATTCGATGAGCGCCCGGGTGGCGGACGTTTCGGCCGCCATCGTACACGCCAGATGCATCATCAAGCAACGTACCGCAGTACCGGCATGGGGGGATGGGAACGCCACTACACAGGCCTTTCCGATAGCGATCTGCAATCGATGGAAACGCGCGTGCGGCCACGTCACTCTCTCTCACCCGACAAGGACTTCATGGGCGAATTCGGAGATTCTGATATGGAGTCGGTGGTTAGCGTGACGTCGAGCGCCTTTTCCACTCAATCGGAACGGCCGCGCGGCTCACGCGGGCTGAGGTAAGTACCGCTGTTTGGCACTTCTGCTGAGCGGCTTTTCCTTTGTATCCCACAAAAAGCTTTCGTTCTGGGTTGCTGTGTGTTTGTGTAAACAGCCGGGAAACAAAATTCTGCACCAAAACCAGCTGTTGAAAAAAAACCAAAACAAAACAAATCATGAAACAATATGCCAAAATGTACAAAAAATAACAAAAATTACCATTCCAATCTGCCAAAGAATCAGCCGATAGAAAATTTAAATTAGTTATGTAATTAGATGAGACCGAAATCAGATACAGATTTTAATGAAACCCGATCGAAACTTTTTTATTTTTTATTTTACAAATTTTTGGGTTACATTTATTTGAGACACACATATTTTGAAGCAAAAGCTACTATAGAAAACGAAGTTTTCTCAAACAATTCGAACCGAATGCAACCCTGCCATCATTTGGGCAACAAACACATTTTCTAAATATGTCGCTGGAAAACAAACAAAAATTTGTTTTCTTTTCTTTATTATTTTTTACATACCTACTACATAACTACTCTACTCAACTCAACTCAACTTAACTCAACCAATTCTACTCAACTCAACCCAAATATCTACTCTACTTCACTTCAATGACGCGCGCTAATTTTATGTTAAACTGCTTTATATGTATATGAATGCCAACAATAACAAACTACTTAAAATATCAACAACAACCACGACTCTATGTTGTATCATTTACACTAACATACTAAAACTACATATAACTAAACCAACCACTTTTGAATATTTTTACAACTCGAAATGACTAACTGACATGAACCAACAACAACCAACGTAAACGTATAAAAAAAAATCAAACACCGCTCACTTGGCAACATTCAACTTATCTACATAATTTTTTCCAAAAATGCTATGCTCTTTTTTTGCAAATTCTACGAAAACAACACCAACAACTAAAACAAAAACAAAAAACACAAACAAACAATATTCAACTCGAAATGATCCTTCATTGATCATTTTGCATTTTTGCATGCGCATGTGGATTAAACAAACGCAAACACAAAATAATAAAAAACAACAACTTGAAACGTACATTTATGAAACAAAAATATCAAACCAAAATTGAAAACAACTGAACACACACCTACACGGCCTGGCCGTCACAAATTCACGCGCGGCTTTTCGAACACAACGTTAACTGAAATTCGAAAACAAATCAATCGATCGGCCGCCTTTGCTATCAAAAGCTTGCCACGCAACTGGCGCACTTTGTACGGTGCCGACCCGATGCTTGGCGTTGCCTCCACCACGCATGTCGGCCACCATGCACCTGCTCGCGAGCGCGGCTTCTTTGAACGTTATCGCGCCAATACGATTGAAGTCGATGATTGTGATTATTTACCAACCAGCCTGACAGGACCGTCATCGCTGTATGCCACAATGCAGTCGCCGTCTCACCTCAATACAGTGTCACAGCAGATGTTGTTGCTCGAACAGCTGGAGCAGCTGCAACAGCTCGCAGAGTTGGCCGCTGCCGATTCGCCTCCAAACACAGCGACGTCCAATCCACATAATTTGCTAAGCGCAACCGCGACAAATACTCCACCACATCACGTTTTACCACCACAACACCGACAATTGCAATTACAACAACAGCAACAGCTACAAGAACCAACACAACTGCCAAGCCAACTGATAATGACCGACAATAGCGGCAATCTAGTGGTCGATCAGTATATGCTCGAGGCGGGCGCCGATCCGGGTTTGATACTGATGGAGCAAACAGGCGTGACGGTGATACCGCCAACTCCTCCGCCCACATTGCCGCCGCCGCTGCCGCCACCAGCGCACACTGTCAGCACACAACTACAAATGCAACAGCAACCACATTCACACCCACAGCCACACCCTCATGCATTTCACCCACATGAGTATCCGCCTCACATACAGAATTCCACACATTTCCCCGAGTTTCTAACGCATGCTGCCACTTTCAGTCCTTTCGCCGAGAAGGTTTCACAACGTAATAGCCCGCTAGGTGCCGGCCATTATCCATTCTACGATCATTTGCAACACTTCACTTCGCCAGTAGTCAACTTGTTTCGCCAAAGTCCGAGCTCGACACTCACCACACCGACTGCCGCGGCAGTCAATTCCCCACATCAACACGCTCATTCCGTATCATCGTCACCCTCATCATACATAGCGTACGTCCGTGATCATTACGACAACACCTGCAGCCACTGCCAGAACGGTAGCCAGCCAGTCGTACTATCGACCAATGCTGCACTCACCACACCTGGAATTGCTATTGGCGCTTGCGACAATCCATTTTGCATTGCGGAGTCGCACCCTCATCCGCAACATCATCCCGTCGCCTATCCTTATACAGCCGAGCAGCTTCTGCGTAGACCGTCATTGTCCATGTATCAGCCATCATCAGAGCCTTCACTGCCAACTATGGATCCGGCAATATGCGGCGAATGTGTGGATCAGCATTTCGTGAGCGGTTTCACCGCACCACAAATTGACTTGGGCGCTGTGCCCACCTATCATGTTCATACCCCAACGCCCACGGCGCACAAAAAGGCCAAGTCCTCACTTGCTCCGCCACCTCAACTGCCCACACAATCGGTGTTGCGACTTTCGCGGCAATTAAGCGAAGATGCGCTTATAACGGCAGTGCCTATCGCGGAGTCAAAGGCACAGCCCACTTCTATTCTCAAGAAGCCGAAAGTGGGCGTGCCAACGGGCACTTTAGATCGGCGGAAAATGTTTCATGAAGGCCAATCACGCTCTTTAGATTATGACGATTTGCATGCGAAGAGTTGGGGTCGTCGTCGAATAAGATACGAAGATGAGGTATATAATCCCACATTAGAAGATCTCTCACGTCGATATGGTTCGGAGACGAATATTCGGCAGTCTTACATGGGTGCCAATGTCGACGAAGTCAATCCGCTTAGTCACTCGCACTTCCTTGTTACTGACGACAAAATCGTCACCATAACCTATGACTCCGATGTGGGATGGACACGACGCGGGGTCGCACCATCTGTGTTTCACGATTCCCGACGCCGTTTTGATGGTCGCGAACGTAATCATATGTCTCTTAATTTACAACGCACTAATCAGGAAAAACTCTACGGAGCCGCACTGCCATACCAAAAGCGACGTCGCAACTTACCGCATCCGCCAAGCGCACAAAACGCTCACAACTTTTCGCCTGTGGAAGGCTACGATGACGACGCTATGATAATGGATTCTGCCACACATTCGTCTGCTACGCTGCCGCCACATAGTGGCGAACCACCAATGAACGGCACAGGCTCCGCCGAACGACCGGGTCCTATTGGTGAACATCGCGATCAACGCGAACTTCGCGATCCTCGTGATCAGCGCGATCCCAGTCGTTCAGCAGGGCCAGAATCGTCGTCACCTAGTCAACCACGTCATTCATCGATTGTATCGAAGCGCAGTAAATCATCGATGGCCACCGGTGGTGGTCATCGCACACGTGTAGAACAGTTACAGCATGAATCGGGCAGTGATCGCAGTAATCTCGTTAGCATAAATGACCAACCAGAATATTTCGAATACGATGATTACGGCGATCCCTACATAGACCCGCACACTAGTCGTAATTATACAAGTAGTGTTAGTTTTGGTAGTAGTAGTGGTAGAGGTAGGCAAAAAGGGAAAGAAGTTTCATACGGCGCGGAACAACAGACGAAATCTAGTAGTGGGAGTGGTAGTGGTGGTGGTGCTTCTTCTACTGCTGCTGCTGGTAATATCGTCGTCGGTGGTAATATTTCTAATAATGCTTCTTCTTCCTCTTTTGCAAATTCCCATCATGGTGTCGCTAACTCCACATCACCTAAACGTGCCTCATTGAAACATACAAATACAACTAACGACGCTAACCTAAACGTAAACGTTGACGGAACAACAACTACAACAACAACTACCATACAAACAACAACTACATCCACAAACATCACAACCACATCATCGTCGAATACAACCACGGCAACAACAACAACAACAACAACTGCAACCTTATCAACCTCAACAACAAATCCTGCTGCCACAACAACTACAACAACGAATACTGGTGATATAACGACATCCGCTGGCGATGGCGCTGCCGCGGATGATGCCGATGCGCCACTCGACGTCATCGATTGGGATGCAATCGATGCGATGCTTGATGACGACTTTAGTGAATATGACAAAGATAAAAATGGTGGTGGTGAGGATAAGAAGGACGCCAATTTCAGCCAGAGTGTAGACGAGAAAGTTGGTAAGCAATTAAATATACAAATACATATTTACATTACATGCGCGGCTGTCGAAATGTATGTATGAAGGTATATATACCTACATACATATATATTTTTCGTACATATTTTAAGTAAGAGAGATTTTTTCATTTGATGATCGATTTTAAGAGTTACGATCATATAGAATCGTGGAGTTAAAACAAAATCATAAAGAGGCCAGATGTTCGTCTCGAAACACATCACTGCCAAAAGCATCCTACCTAATACTTTCAAAGGTGGAACATAATAATAAAAACGTTTTCCGTTGTCTCGTCCTCTTGAAGGCAGCAAGGGAAAATTGGGTTGTCATTTATGCCGACCACTGTCAGATGCTTGTGTCTTAAGAAAGGGTAGCAGTCAGGAAATCCCACCAGTACTTACAGCCCCATCTGCTCAATGAACGCAAATACGCAGCTAAACCTTCCGACATTGAGTGATATATTCGATGGTGGCTTCGCCGCTAGACTTGCAATACCGAAACTAGAGGACTGGCTAATGCTCAGAAAGAAGTAAAGTGTGTGCCCATTATCTTCGATAATGACCAAGTGTCGGTTTTCCAAATATCAGTAAAGATTCGACAGTGAGTAATACCTAGTGATACATCATTTTATTTAGTAGCCTCTAAAAACACACAATTTCCTTGCGGCATTCAAAAGACACTAACGTCTATATTTCTGCCTTGAGAAGTTGCCACCCCGCTCCACAATGTACCGCTCCAGCCTCCATTACTTTCAAACCCACGAGTGGCCTTTAGGGCCTCCCAGCACGGACTTCAAAAACATTAATAATGGTAGATTTTACATACAAAAAATGGTAGAAGTTGGTGAATTATTTAAGACAAACAATATTAGATAGTTTTTACTTAAAAAGGATAAATCAAGGCGAATTTGTAGGTGACAGGTAATAAGATCAACGGAAATAAGGTCAATTGACTTTATTTTACGTTACCTTTTTAAAAGCGAAATAAAATCCATTGACATTATTGCTCTTTCAAACATTAAATCTGATTAGCTTCGCGGTGGCCCGCGTACCCCGCGTGACCGGCGCACACACCACGTCACGCTACGCCGCGTGTCGTCGTTCGCCTTGCTTTTAAATGATGTCACAAATTGCTGGCGGAGACATGTATACAGTGTAAGAAAATTCCTTTTCTATAATTGTTTCCTTATAGAAAAGTTAGTTTCTTTTCCACCTTAGACATTCCGAACTCGTTCAAAATATGCTAATTTAAAACAGAGAATTCTTTCAGTGTTCCCACGGGGTTTTTGGACATGGACTGTTTCTTCAATTTAATAGTGTTCGCTTTATTTTTGTGGAAACGAAACATGGTTGCAAGTTATGGATCATTTCTACACTCTTTCTTCAAATATTTTTTGTATTCCAGCTGCGTTTTGCGTTTGGTTTTCCGCATCGTGTGTTTACTGTATTCGTAATTTTAAATTTTTTAATAAAATCAATTGGTGGTAGTTCATGATTGTGTGTGGATGAATAGCACCACACTGAGGATTTGGCAATAACCTTTGTCATCTATTAAAAAACAACACTTACGGAGCAATGTTTATTGTAAGAACAACATTTGTTCCATGAATCGACATACTTTAAGCATAGTTGACGCTATTTCCATTTGAATGAGAAAATAGCGTCAATGACTTTATTTCCAAATTTTTGTTGACTTAATTTCGCTTTTGAAAAGGTAATAATGTAAATTGACTTTATTTCGCACCAGGGTGGGAAATAAAGTCAATTGACTTTATTTCCGTTGATCTTGTTACCTGTCACCGAATTTGTATAAGGTGGTGTTACTCGAGCAGCTGGATTTTTTGTTGTAATTCCTACTGTCTTTATGCGTAAAACTTGTTAGTGTAATTTTTGATTTTGTACTCCTGCTATCACGTTATATGAATTCACCTTGGGATAAGTTGTATTTGTTTTTATAAAACAACAAAAAATCTATTTCAAGCCAATAAAACATTCAACAAAAAACGTATGCATAAAACTGGGCCTGAATCCGTGATTGAATGAAACTCTATTCGAGTCGAATGACAAAAATGATATCTGTTTTATCGTAATGCCATTTTAAATTGAAAAAGCGAACGAATGCCGTAACCTGTAGCTCGTTTCTGTACCTCTTCTCTAGCGATTATTTCTCTACTGGTATAGAATATACGTCATTCTATTACTCATTAGCAGTAGAGAACAAGGCGCCGAATGTATATATGAATTCGCCTTGGTAGAGAATTGTTACAGAAACTAGCTACTGAAAAGAAATGTGGATTCGAATTTGATCAGATTACGGATGCCGTGATTCAGTCCCTGCATTAGTTGATAAAGGGACTCAAACAATTACTCTTCACTTCAAAATTTCATGACTAAAATTAGATTTGAAAAACTTGAAGTTTGCACACCTTTTGGTCGGCAGCCTCCCACGAATAAGAAAAATATTTGTACAAAGAGTTGCAGGCGATGCAATTTCACTTTCGAATTTCTTATGGTCAGAGTTAACTTTTCATTTTTTTTGTGTTCGATGACAAAATATCTATGCATCGCATTAATTTAAACCTCTTTGCTTTCTTTCGAATAATATAGATAGATTGTTATCCTTTGTTGCTAAAAATGTTAAAAAGTTGGTAGATCTACCAGTAAAGTAGTGAAGTCCGTGCACTGCTCCCAGCGGATAAAACATCATGTTAAAGCTTAAGCTCAGGTTCATTTTTTGCACTGATGGAGTGAGCTGGAGCGCAGTAATACACTTTTTTGTAGGGAAATCCTTATCGATTGGAGCATTCAGCCTTTATATTTGATTTATAGTACATATATAAACGGTTAACTACGAATGAAACATTGTATCAAATGCATACTCACTTACTGTTGTTTTTTACACTTTACAGCCTAAAAGAGTTTACCACTCTTATGTACTTAACAAGGATTCGAATACTTAATTTGCCAACTTCGAATACGTTTTATTATTTTTGATAGCTGAGCGCATCTTGTGTCTATAGAACGTTTTAATAAACAAGTAATTTTTAAGCAAAAAACAAATCCGACTTCAATTGTCATATACAAATTGAGTAGCACCGTTGATCGGATCTGAACCAAATTCCGGGACGACCTTTAAGGTACCATCTTTCTGATAAAAAAAAGAATTATTGAAATCGGTTGACGTTGATAACCTCCCCCTTTTTTTGAAGTCGGTTAAAAATGTTTGAGTCCTTTGTTAGTTTTACGTAAATAAAGTTCAATTTATGAAACTTTAAAAAGTTTATTTATCTATTACATACTGTACATAAAAGTTGCGTAAATGTATTTTACAGAGCATATTATTTGAAGCGAATTTTCAGCATTTTCTGGTGATATATCTTTAGAAGTGTATAGTAGGAGTTATATTTTTTCTTGAAATTTTCACCAGGGGGCACAACATTGAACATTTTCTTCGAAACCTATTTTTGCAATTTGGCAAACTGCAAATTGATTTTGGACCCATGGTTTTTTCGGAAAATTTGTTTAGATTTACAAGTAGAATCATTGCGCATAGTCAAAAAAATTTACTTGACCTAATGTACATACATAAATACTTAAAAAAATTAACTAATAATATCGAAATATTAATTATACATATGTATGTATGTATGTATGTATCAATTTTCACTCAGACGGCAGCTTATCCGATACGGCAACGGATCGCAAAAAAGGCGGCGTGGACCAAGAACGTTCACCCAAAGGCGGCAGCGGTATGGGTAAAAAATCGAACTCCACTTCGCAATTATCGGCCACAGGTAAGGGCACGCCCAGTTAACAGTTTTGCCAATTAATCGTTTTTGAAATTTTTACTGCAAGTTAGTTGCATTCGACATACATATTCACTTCTAAATGATTTCGTAAACGCTTGTCATTTAAACCCCGAGTACATTGACACTCCAAGTGCGAGAACTTTTAAGAAAATTATAGACATATTTTATGATCGCAGCCTGAGCAAAAAAGTTTTCAATTCCAATTATTTGGTAGTAGATAAATTTAATTTTTATATGATTTTCCATTTTCTTTCCCAATATTTGAATTATCTGGTATTTTTTATTGAAATTTACTTTTAGTTACACAATTAGCTTAATTTCATTTAAAGCACTAACGTTAATTATATTCTCCGCCTAACATAAACATAACAGAAATGTAAATACATATTGCGTAATTTAGTGCCGCATCTGAAAACAAAAGACATTCATACATATACTAACTGTCTTGATATTGGGAAAATCTTTGTCTCACGAATCATAATCAAATAAATATGTAGTAACAATAAAGCTAGCACCAAACTATCAATTATCAATATACATATATGCGTATACATATAAAGGTCGTAAAAGACGTATGGGCTTTGGAAAGAAGGGTAAGAACTCATTTACGGTGCATCGCAGTGAAGAAGTTCTGCCCGGTGAGATACGTGGGGCGCTGTCGCGCGGGTCGTCATCTGAGGCCGATGGTGGCGAGGCATTGGCTGATGTCGGAGCCGGCACTGGTGGGGAAAGGTTCGCAAAACTCTATTGCTCTTCTATCTATCTTCCTCTCTCTATCTTTAGCAAAATTTTTACTTTAATTTCGTTTATTACGTTCATTTACTTACTATATTGATTAACTATAATTTACAAAGTTATGTTGTTAAAATCATTTATATTGTATGTTATTTATTATAATAACATAAGCATACCCGAGAGTAAATTTTAAAGTACTTTCGTAAAGATGATAAACATTAAAACAAAAAAAAAACACTAATTCATTCTCCCAGTACCATGTAAAATTTAAGCTTTCTCCTCTCTACTAGCCAAAAGGTATTCAAATCACCTTTGATTCTTAAAAGCTTGAAATTATCAAAACGTATTCGAAATGTTAGATCTTTAAACGCGCTACACTGATCGACATTGCTGTAAATACTAATGTACTCCTATAAATATAAGCGTTTTAGCTCCCTACAATGCTTGACATGGCGGATTCATACGGCGCAGCTAAAACCTTACTACTGAGTCTTGAACTATGTATAGCCATACGTAAACAAAAGCATACTAAAATAACGTGCCGTCAATGCTTAGCTGTTGGAAAATCCGATTTTGACAGGGTTTTAGGAAGTGAAGTTGGCTGAAGAAAACGGCGAAACTGTTATTTTCGTAGGTCACATAAACAAACCTATGCTTATTATTGGTGTTATTTCGTCATTTGACGTAGCGTTGCCGCTTTTGTTTAGGTATGGCACGTGCAAGTGAAAGCTTAAGCGAGCGCCAAAGGAAATTCTGCCGAACTCTTGTAACTTAACACCTCATTTCAACGTATTCTCAAATTATTACCTGTACAACGTAAAAGCGTCCAAAGTCGATACGTATTTTTAGGCTTTTCCAGCTATCATAAATGGCAAACAGATATTATTTCGATTCAATGCGAAAGCTTTTCACACTTAAGTTTTACAAAGTATCCAATGGAGCCATTGTGAAGAAAAAGCTGATGAAAAGCTTTCGATGATTTTGATTCGAAGCTACTACTGTTAATTGCGCTTCATTCTCTCTTTAAGCTTTCATAATGTGATTAGCTCTATTTGAACTAAAATTTACTCATTTTCGATTCATAGATTTGTGAAAAATTTACATTAATACATTTACTTAGTACTCGTAAAATGCTGTAGTTAGCAAATACAATATATAGCATCCATTCAATGAAGCGTGCGTTTCGCCATTGCAATATCACTACTCGCATCTCTCTTTTAATGGCCTTGCGTTTATTACCAAATAACATGAGTTAATTTAATTTCCTAATTTTTAACAAAAAAATCACAATAATCTTAAGTCTACTTTAAAATAGTTGAAGATTTTGCATGCTTTTAATCGCTTTACAAACAAACTTATAACGCAAAAAGCTTAAAAAAAGGTAATTAGCACAAAGCAAAGGTAATTGTTCAAAAAAATTAAGTAGGTTTAAAGAGCTTTATAAATTGACGTTTTCATAGATTTTTCAATTTATAAACCTTTTTTAAAGCTACTTTATTTCTCATGAATATGGCTATAAATGTCAGTATATCGATTTGTTGGCCTGACATATTTTAGCTTTCTATAAACGTCTGCAACATACAGTTATGGCTATAACATAATTAGATACATACAATTTGACGATTTAATGAATTTGGATTTTCTTAAGAATGATTAAAAGTTTTAGGGAAGTGTTGCCAGAAAAATTATCAAAATCGTCAGAAAATTAATAAGGAACTCGCAAGTTTGGACTATATTATACAAAATTGTTTTTTTTTTTTTATTAAAAAAGGGGATTTTATAGGTATATCCACATACTGCAAACCACTCCAAAAATCGGCGTGGTTCATCTCAGTGGTTTCAAACATCTTCAAAAAATTTGTAACGTTTCTAGAACCGGTTCGCAGCACCGTAGTGCATTCGGTTCCGTTTAAATGGCTTACTTTCCACCCTATTCTCTAGTAAAAAAAACTTAAGAGGACGCATAAAGTGGAAAGTTGGTAAAAGCCATTCGGGGTATTGTCTGTGTATTGCAAAGCCCTTGCACGGTGCACGGATTGTACGGCTTGCAAAGCTGTCCCATACGAAAACCAGCTTTTAAAGCGCACTCCGTGCAATCTGTACACCGTGCAAGACTCAGAGAATACCCCTATTGTGAAATGAGTTGCATTTGAAAAAAAATTGCAATTTCATAATACACGGGGAAAGTTTTTCAAAATTCGTAGCCCAAAAAATGTAGTTGGTTCGGTTTGGAACCGGTTTGCAGTCCTGCATAATTGACTTCACCTCGTATTATAAGAACGATTTAATAGAGGCTGATACCTTTTTAAGGTGGTTCAGAGCCCACTTTTTTGGCTTAAATTAAGGGTTTACGTATTTTTAAACTTAAACTAATTCTACTTTGTGGGTCCTAGCACAGAATTTTTAACTACTTTACTTTCTACTGAAGCCTTAGAAAAGCAGCATCAATAAAGTTATGTTTATTTTAAAAAGTTCTGGCCAATTTTTTTTGCTTTTTTTTACAAAAAATCTAAATTTTTACAAACCTTTCAACATGTTCAAAAATATGATACTTATCTTTAATGGTACTTTCAGAAAAATTTTTAATGCAATTTTTATAAAAAACTGAGAAAACTTCTACGGTGAGGCGATTTTACAAGCAACTTTTAGTTGAAAGCAATAATCGCCTGGCGTGGACGGCTTTTCAACTAATCGCTTCCAATGACATTCGGAGGTAGCCAACTTTTGATTCTACTAATCGCCTCTAAAATTGTCTCGAAAATCGCTTCATGTGATCAACGTTTTAGCCATACCTTATCTAAGCTAATACTCAGCCATATACTAACCACCTTCGTGTGCTGGATGTTTTTCTAAAAATCCTGATTTTCACGAAAAAATTATATGTTAATACTAGGAAGAAGATAATCAGAATATCAAATAATGTTCAAAAGTTATAGCCTACACTATATGTGTTAAATAGTATATAAAGCGCAATATCAGATTCAAAGAATCACTAATCTCTGCAAATTCTTCTAGGAAACATATCCAAATTTAAATAAGCGACACATATTTTTGTTTAAACAATCAATCCACAATCAACTCCAGTTGAAGTGTACCGCGACTTCCAGTCGAATTCAGTCGTCGTTATCAATGCAAAAGGCCCTGAATGCCAAACGGCTCATTTCACTGTGGTGGGTGCGACATTTTATCATACATTTTAAGATTTAAACTATAAATTATATAAAAAAATATCCTCCGCGGTGGATACTAGTATTAGACGAGCTTCTACAACTCATATTTAACAATCGCACCCTTTGGCAGGGATATACAAAGGATAGTAAAAATTGCTATAGGAAAGTGGAGTACTCTCTACCCTTTCCTTTACAACAAGAATAATTCCTCGTGCTCCACCGGAGTGAGGTATCTTGTTCTAACCCTGGACTTCAAATTTCTGCGGAAGACTTACATTGGTGCAACCACATTCAGAGCTACCATGGCACTAATGAATCTACACCATTATAGTACGATCAAAAGTGAACTACTTTAGCCTCGGTAAGATAGTGTCTCACTAAACTTCTAAACGTCTAGCATATGCAATAAATACGGAAGCAGTGTAAGGTAATTCTCACACTTGAAACACTACATCTGACCACGTGTTCTGTTAAACTTCGGAGGATAAGCTTTTTATCTAGGATGCTAGTTCCCACGAGTTCTTTTCCCAAAAGATGGTATGAACCAGGTAATTGCTTGCGAAAATAAATGTAAAATAGCCTCCTGCACTAAAACAAACTATGAAGCAACAAGTCCAAGTAATCACTCTTAACAGCCGGCTCTATAACACGAGATTGCCACTCGTTCAACAACCCTAGAGTTGGGCTATTTATGCCTAAGCATAAATGAGGTTTACGTCATTTATTTGCAGACAGAAATTTGCTTACGTTGAAATTACCATAATTAGCGACAACCAGGCTCTCCGATTACTTGAAGGCATATCCTCATTAGCCTTGGGTTGCATTAAGCAATATCCGACTGCACAAGGGAATAGAAGAGGAATAAAGAAGCGGATGGCTCAGCCAGACAGGCAGCGACCTCAACTCCCACAGGACTTCAGTCGTTCCTTGCAGTAGATCCAAACGTGGTCAAGGCTGAAATCGTATTTGAGCTACACCTTCAGAGAAAGAAGCATCCAATAAACGTCACCAAAGAGTAACTAAAGATTGGCGATCTTGTCAAATGATGTCTATCTGTTTTGCGACTCAGTTAGAGGACGTCTGGAGAATATTAGTCCAAGTGAGTTAAAACAATTTTGGTCACTACGAAGAGTTTGACTAGCACGAACCCACAATGTGATACTGCTCATCAATTTCACAGTTTGTTTGTTAATTTCTCCTTTAACACTTTAAATATTTAAATTACGGTGTAGGTGAAGAATCACTTATAGGATCTGCATATGCATAATAAATATGCTACTTTGTTTTGCGGCCGCTGTAGTCGAGTGGTTAGTGTTGCTGCGTACTGCCACTCGATAGGATCCAGATCGAAGAAGTTTCTTTGCCTCGGCATGTGATAGTAAACCTCTGAATGAAAACTGTTGGAATAACTCTCCACGCACTGCCGAGGCTATGGCATGCGTGCAGGCGTCAAGCAGTTGACGATATCGGGCGAACAATATTTCCAAGCTGATTGTCATTGTATTAAGTGCCGGTTACCGTGGAATGAGACACATTTCAAATTTTAAGGTGGTACAGAATTTCTTGAATTAAGATCGTAAGTGGTTCCAGGGCTATTTCAAATATGGAAATTAAACTGATTTTTTCAAACATGGCTCTGAATTTTGGTATGGAGGTGTAACTTAGAACATATTAACCGATTATTCAAAAACGTGTTTAAAAGTAAAAGTCTAATAAGGCCTTTAGTATTATTAATAATGATGATACATATTTAACAAAGCAATCTTTTATAGACTATGACCATTTGATGTGTTTTCAAAAACTAATACTGTCGATTTCCAGAGCTCAATACATATATATGTTGCACTTTGGATCTGGTACAGGAAGTACTATTCTAATTCGGACCGGGCGCGTTCTTTTAGGTTTCGTGCTTTCAGGTTTTTTGCATGCTCTCAAAAATTATTGTCAACTCTAATGTTTATCATCTCTTACTATTGCAAATTAAAACTATTTTAAAAAAGTTACGCAATTTAAAAGTTATCGTAGTCTACATACATATGTATATGCAGGGAGACATAGAAGGAAGCTCACCTCGCACTCGTTCACACTCTTTCCCAACACTTTTACACATTTTTCTCGCTCATGTACATAAGATTAAGGACATAGTAGGTGTGACCTTAGATTAAAAAAATTGGAAAGAAAAGCGAAAAATTATTGACACAATAAAACAACAAAATAAGATACATACATACATTCTTATAAAATGAGTATTTGTGTATATTGGCATTCATACGCTAAGGTTATGTCGAAACATTTTTGCAGTGGCACATCCTCCAGCCAACAAATATAGCTGACTCCAGTTGTTTTTCGATATTTGCGTATGCATATTTATATTGAAATTTATAAACGTAGTTAAGAGTTCACATGTATATTGTTATCAAATATTTGCGTACATCTATTCAACTAACAATATTTATAAGGTGCTTATTTCTCATAAAATGTATTGTCCAATAACGATTAGCCATAGTCTGCGAATGTATGAAGTTTTATTTCGTTTTCTTCAACTGCTTCTCATGCTTAAGTTTGCGCTAAAAGCTGTTTCATAATTATTATTTTTTCTTGTAATTTTTCAAAATGTTTTCAAGTTTCTTCCATTTCGTTGGTATCGTTTCAATACATTTTCGTTTGAGTTTCAGTCGAATACGTGTACGATATGACAGTGTGAGTACATGAAAAATGCGTTCTCGCCTGAGTGTATGCATACATAGCTACATATGTGCAAAATAATGAGCTTGCTTGCAATTGGGAAACCCAATTAATAACTGCTGTACAGTGCGTGCGGTCCTTGTAGATATTTCGAGTAAAATTTTCTAATAAAACAAGTAAATTTAAATACCAAGAACGCGAATTTGTAAAAGAGGGAATCAAGGCAACATTTATATCAGCACTTACATTTGCATTATACTCCTTACATGTCTAATCATTGTTATCCATTCAAATGTTTTCCCGTCCATCCCGACTCGGCAGACCAATATACGGCTCAATATACAACAGCCGGAGCTTCCAATTCATCTCATCATTACCATCTTCGACAATCGCGCGGTTCGGCGGGTAGCATTCAGCGCTCCGTGGAGGTGCCACCAACGTCATCGGTCACACAATATCGCACCGGCAGCGTTCACTCCATCTCCAGCTCAGAGGGTTCATCGTAAGTGCTAGTGCTGCCACGTTTACTGCGTGACATGCACGCAACCGATAAAGATTAAGAGAATACCTATTCACAAGCAAAATCTCTATTGTGTAGTTGCATCTCGCTGTGAACACACTTCTCTGATTTCAAGACGCACTCAGCTCTTTTTATACAAAAATATATCGTCGTTTAAAGTACAAAACCGCGTATCGTGGTTCTGCAAAACCTCGTAATTTACATTTGTGCCAAAAAAGATATGTGCTCACCGGAAGCTTCTGGGATCAAGTTCTTATCCATTCATACTAAAATAGCGATAGTTTGATATAAGAAGAAGATATAATTAGGGATACAAGTCTTCTATAAAATTTTGGCAACCTCACATACGAGGTTTTGCATTTACTTGATACGTGGTTTTGTACTTTAAACGACGATATATATATTTAAAAATGTAATAATTTTTGCAAACTTAAATTCAATCTTATAATTGAAGCTCTCAAAATATTATTTGTACCTACATATATAAGAGTACATCTCCAATGTACATATGTATAATTTTTGAGTAAATGGTAGAGATTATTCTTGAATAATTTTAAAACTAACCATGTTTTTGATAATGCTGCATTTCTTAACCCAAATACCTAATAAAATGTAATAACAAGGCACCAAAAATTTATAATGCGCTTTGCCAGCCTTTAGGATTGGTTCCTGGCGTAGACCCAGAATAATAATTATTTCATGGTGGAGTTTTAAAAAATCATCAAAATTTTCGTAAGAATTATAAAAGTCATCCAAATTTTCGTAAGAATTATAAAAGTCTTTTGATAATAATTATGTGTGAGAAAAATTGTTCAAGTCATGGATAACTATTTTTTTAAGATTTAAATAATACAAGTCTTTTCATAAGAATTATCAGCGAGTTAAATATTTTTAAGTCTTCAAAGGCTTTTATTTCGAGACTTTTATTATAAAAGTATTTTCATAATACATAATAATGAGTGCTAAAAAATTGTTTCAGTCTTAAAGGACGGGGCTTGTTCAGGACCATTTCGGCTTAGTTCGGGACTATTTGGAGATTAGTTCGGGGCTAGTTGGGGCCAGCTCGGGACCAGTTGGGAACTAGATTGGAACTATATTATATATATAGTCCCGAACTGGTCCCAAACTAAGCCCCAAATGGTCCTAAACTACTCACGAAATGGTCCTGAACAAGCCCCGTCTTTTAAGACATAAAAAATGTTTTCCCCACTCATAATTATTATGAAACGACTTTTATAATATAAATCTCAAAATAAAACTCTTTCAGGGCTTAAAAATATTTATCTCAATGATAATTATTTTCAAAGGACTTTCATAAAATTAGTCTCAAAATAAAAGTCTTTGAAGACTTAAAAATATGTATCTCTCTGATAATTATTTTGAAAGGACTTTTAATCTTTTCTCTTCTATAGTTAAGTCCCTGGCTCCTGGCCATACCAACGTGTAAAAGAAATATTTATACCATGAAAAAGCTTTTCATAATAACTATTTGCCGTGCGGAGGTGGCGCACAATTTTACGCAAATCACAAAATTGGGGGAGTGTTTGAGAAAAACACTAAGAAAAATATTATATACCTACTTTCAGCAATGTTTTTGAACTTTGCACCAAGATTTGTCATAATATTAACATAACTAGTTTTAGTCTTTCTAGCATCTTATTAAATAAGGTTTTCTATACAAAGCACTTGGGAAAGTAACGGCTGGGTTGAATTTCTTATTATTGGTATGTATTTCATTTGTTTGTGACTTGGTGTCCCATATTCTCACCACTTTTTGGATTGCATATCAACTTTGTTCACATAACGGTTGTTTGTAACAGCCAAAACGAATCGAGATAGATATGAACAAATGTATACATAAATGCTCAGAATGAATAGAGAAGTCGATTAAACCATGTCTGTCTGTCCGTCCGTCTGTCCGTCTGTCTGTCCGTCCGTCTGTCCGTTCGTCCGTGTACACGATAACTCGAGCAAAAATTGTGATATCTCAACGAAATTTGGTGTGTAGGTTTCCGTTTATCAAAGGTAGGTTGGTATTGAAAATGGGCGAAATCGGACTGTAACCACACCCACTTCCCATATAACGATAATTTTCAGAAATACGAAAATTGCGATATTTTCGTAACTACTGAAGATTATTCACTCAAAATTGATATTTACAAAAAATTTTAGACGGTAAATAAGATTATTATACATTTTTGGAAAATGGGCGTAGCCACGCCAAGTTATGGTTACATGTGTATATCTTGGTAACCACTGCACCAATTTCATAGTTGTTGGCCTTGGTACAGCACACCAAATGGCCGAAATTTTTTAAAATCGGACATTAACCACGCCCACATCCCATACAACGGTAATTTAGAGAAATACTCTAATACAAAATCCACCATAAATCAGAAAATATTAAAGCTAATTTTATTCAAAATTGATGCTTGCAACAATTCTTTACCAAGAAATACGTTTATGATAAAATTTTGGAAAATAGGTGTGGCACCGCCCACTTATGATCACATATATGTATCTCGGTATCCGTTCAACCAATTTTTACCAAACTCAGTATGGTTATTGTGCTTTCCACATAAAAACGTTGAAAATTATTGAAATCGGACTAAAATTACGGCCGCTTTTCATATAACGGTAAAAATTTCAGAAATGCTTGAACCCTCAATATTTCGAAATTTAAGGACGCTAATTTACTAAAAATTGATACACCCCCGCTTACCATGTAGCGGTAGCTTTCGGAAAGGTATTTAATGTTCGGCTCCGCCCGAACTTAGACTTTCTTACTTTTTTTAGGCAAAAATACTAATACACTTGTGCGGAGCTCACCGTCATCAAGTTGAACGTCGAGTTCAAACACAACTTGATGAACGCTGAGAATGGCCCATCCTTCGAAATTTTTTACAGTGAAAATAATGTCTATTTATTGCCATCATCTCCAAAAAAAAGTGTACATTAAATAAAACTGTAAATAAATTCTCGCCGCACACGCTAAAGTTCAAGCATACGCCACAAAATAAAATTAAATGATCAATTTCTTATTGGCGAGACGCTTCGGAAGCGAAACATTCGTCTTTGCGCCGATTTTCCTCTTCTGAATCGGCATTTCGGCGTAAATTTTCCTTCTGCTTCTCACTTGTTACTTTCCATCCGCTTTCTGTTAGATTTTTGTTCAGCTCCACACAGGTGGCCTAAAGGAGACTGCTAAGACATACATAGACATGTGCATACATAACTAATTTATCGTTATATGAGTTGCCAAGCAGACCACTAACAAAGGCATTGGATATGTTGATTGTTAGGTTTTAAATGTTAGGAGTAAGTGGTTAGTAGGAAAGCGAAAGAAAAGTGCACATAAAACGTTTACGAAACTTCAGAAATGTATGAAAAAGAGTTGGGTGTCTACACGAATCAGTTTGACTTTGCTGCTGCCTGATTGTGACCCATTCTATCATTCTCTCTATCCGTATTAATATAATGCTGTTTTCTGATCACTTTTGTTCTTTCTTTGCAAAACTCTTGCTTCCGTCAACTCCTTTGTGTGCGTAATTTCTGGTTTGGTTTTACAGATTTATTTTCCGACTATGGAGCTTACTTGCTTTTTGTCTTCTTCTTCTGTCTGTCTATTTCTCCGTGGTCGTTTAGTGCAGGGGCAATAGCCACGAAATTGTTACTGCCCGTTCATTGTGCTTCCAATATATTTTCTGATATTTATCTTTCTTTACTGTGGAGAGTAAGTTCACATCCGGCAGTTAACTTTCAATTTCTGTACTGAAAATCGAGAGTTAACTGTCGAATATAAGTTAACCCTCCACTATGAAACTGGCACTAACCTGACCTACAAGTGTTGTGTGTAACTATCTAATTCTCTCAAATTTTTGGTGTTTAATCAGCTTTTTTTTACGTTGGAGGCTTCTGTTGCAAATCTGTATAAATTTCTTATTTGCTGATAACAACTTTTGTACGTTCACCTAAGTTTCACTTTGCATGAATATTAAAAATTATATTTTCAGATACGTATGTATATATGTATGTAATGTATGTATGTATGTATGTAAGGACATCTGTTCATAGATATTATTTTACATATGTATTATTTCGTTAAGCAGTAAATAAAATTTCATTAATTTGTTCAACTATAATCTAGAATATTTACACTTTCTTACAGCTATACAGAGAACAGCATAAATCAAAATTTTAACAGCAAACTTATGAATTATATACTTATGTATGTATGTACATATCACAATTTTTGAGAAGCTTAGTAATATTCACATATAAATATATTAAATAATTTTAATATTATTAGTAGTATTAAACATATTCTCAAGCTTATTATCTACTTGTATGATTATATTTCCTGAACCGTAAAATTTTAATTTATTTTCTATATTTTTAAAAATGCGATATTTCGTACAAATACACTTTTCATTAAAAAGAAATAATGGGCTTCACTTTGTTTTGTCGAAAATGTATCAAAATAATTTCTCGAACCATAGCACAGCAGTATAAACCAATAAGGAGAACTAGGAGAATTGCCTAAATTAAATATGGTAAGATTTAATTCATATTAAGGGGATTCACAAGACGTGTTAACCGTCGTAAAATCTTAAGCTTAAAATATTCCATGCAAAATAATGCTTAAAATGGTTTTAGAAATGTTTTTAAACTGATAAAAAAATGTATAATTAGAGCCCCGTAAAACAATTTTAATCGTTATCTTACATAAAAAAAATATTAAGTTTAAAACTTTACGACGGTTAACACGTCTTGTGAATCCCCTAAATATTTCTCATATCTTATCGAATTTAGGAGATGGGAGTTAAACGCAGTCCAAAAGTTAAAAAAATAATATTGCCGAAATATCTTTAGTAGTTTGTTATTAGGAGGCATTGAGATAACTCAAAACATTTCTTAATTTTTTACTACGTGTAGTTAGTTTCCAATTTAACGTCAGCTCTATATGTTTATTCGCTGTAATCAAATCTTTCGTGTGCACATTTTGAAATCTTATCGGTACGTTTCTATAAATATGTAAATTGATTTTAATAACACGTCATCCCAATGAGTTAAATCTATTATGTTACATAACCTTGTGGTCAGATGATTAAGTTAGGTGATATTTTGGCTAGCTTTGCCTATTTTTCTTCAGTTCAGTGTTTAATATTTTTTATAAAAGTCTAGCACGTGTAACGTGTGGTAAAAACATGAATGTGCCGCTTAAAAAAATTTACTTCCGAGGAAGTTTAACCCATTTCCGGTCAAAACTTGATATTTAAATTGGGCGCAACTTTTTACACTGGGGGTTCTTAAGGGAAGGCAAGTGCTCGAAGTGCGGCCTGGATATCTAAGAGGATGCTTGCTTTTCGCACTCTTACGCAGCTCCTCTCTAATTCTTTACAGGCCTTTTCCACTTGTAAGATGCTAGCAAAGTTCGGTAGTAGGAACGAGAGAGAGGCGTTCCCGCATGCGTGGACCCGCAGTCCATTCTAGACCCATCAGTATAGATTTCAATGGAGTTCTTCTCGACTATCCTACCCCTACTCCAATCCCGTTTAGAAGGAAATTTCACCTTAAAGTTTTTCTTGAAGTCGGTCGTAGGAGGTATATAATCAGATTTTTTCCCTGATTCGACAAGTTTGTCAAGAATTCCACTATGACCGTACTGCAGCGCCCTCCAGCAGCCTGACACTTTGAGTCTGATTGCCGAGGATGCACCATCCTTGGAAAGTCTGCAATAGACGTCCAAAATTTCAAAAAAATCGGTTCGCGAGATCATCTCTTATAATAAGAAGGGACTACTCTTTATATAATTACGTTTATATTATAGATCGGACTATATTTTAAATGAAGATTCTAAAAAATAACTAATCAAATATATGTTGCAAACGATATCATTTTGAATTTTATTGCAAATGATATGTCCGATACAGTACAATACGTTTGTATGCATGCATGGATGCATAGGTACTTATATACATATACATATATGCATACGCACAAAAAATAATGTACACATGTGGGCATACTTATACCGTACCCTTGCTAAAAGACTGTCGTAAATCCAAAATAACAAATATTTTGAGTTAACTATGCAGAAATGACTACTGCCACCCTTATGTTGGGTCTACATGTGTCTGTTCTATGTTATATAAAAATTGTATACCTAGCTGTGTCGATTAACAACAGCTCATTAGAGGAAAATGTGTCTTATTTTTACCATGGAAGCATAAACTATAAATTTTAAATCCGTTTTTGTCAAATTGTGGCACTCTTGCAGCAAAGGTACGCTACCGCTAACTTAGAGCGAAAAGTTGCTAAGTCCATATTAATTAAATTTTACAGAAGAGGAAGGCAACTTCTTATAGGCATTTTCTTCAAGTATTTCGCAAACCATAATTTTCATAAAAAGTGGACTTAGCAACCTTCCACTCTAAGCCAGCAATATGTATCCTTATATCAATTTTAATAATTTATATTTACATACATAAATACTTACTTATAATTGATAACTTTCTCTATTATGACTTTCTTAGAGTAAAATTTCCCTTAAACGTAAAACCTAAATAATAAATAATTACTATTTGTATTTACGTTCCGATTGCATATGTAAGTAAATATCTTAGCATGCCTTCAAATTTGGCTTACAAATATCTTTTTGCACCTATGACACTCAAAATAGCTATTTAATCTGAAACATTGTTCCACAATGCATGGAAATTTTTATTAAGAGCTTGTGACGGTTTTTACATATATAAAATACATATCTACATAATATTCCCTACGCACTGAGCATTTGCGTATCGCCTACAACTGTCCACTACCCAATCTTACATGCCTACAAACATGCATACATACTTCATACATATCGTATTTCTATATCTCCCTGTGTATAACTGGTACTTGAAAATTTTTATTTTACACTTACTTTAAAAAATGTAATTGACCTCCTTAAGTAAATGTGCGTTTATTTTGGAAATTTTTCGATTTCCCCTTTTACTGTATTACACATTTATATTGTATCTATTTGCGTTCACCTTTTGCACTTATCCATTGGCACGATTGACTACAAATATCATTTTCTTTTTTCAATCGATTGTTGTAAAAAAATGCACATCAAAATCGTGAAAAAATCAAATTAAAAAATCGCTGTGCAAATTGCAAAACGTGCAGATTTTCACCATCTCTACGTGGTAACGACGGCCAGTTGTCGGAGTTCATAGATGGTCTGGGTCCCGGACAGTTGGTCGGACGACAAGTTCTGGGCGCGCCATCGCTGGGTGATATACAGCTATCAATGTGCCATCAAAAGGGTTTCTTAGAAGTAGAAGTTATACGTGCTAGAGGCTTACAGGTAAAGCAAAGTGTATATTATCTTATTCACTTACCTACATATTTACAACTGTAATGACTCCCCTTTCTCGTACACACTCATTTAACAGCAAAAGCCGACGTCAAAAATGCTCCCCGCTCCTTATGTTAAAGTGTATTTGGTTTCTGGTAAACGTTGCATTGACAAGATGAAAACGTCAACGGCAAGACGCACATTGGATCCGCTCTACCAGCAGCAGTTGGTATTTAAACAGCCATACCAAGGATGCATCCTACAGGTAATTATATTGGGAAGAATTCTTGGAATACGTTTGAAACTCCCGAGAACAACATCCTATTAATATCACATGGCAAGTATTTATTTCATAGTATTTCATAGAACTATGTAGAATAGCGGATCTTGGCTTTGATGTATTGGAGACACTAAACCGCAGGGCCGAATTAACATGTGTGGGGCCCAAGGATAGGAGAAAATGTGGGGGCGCTATAGCGATTACCTGTTGGTTTCAATGTAATGCGTTTACTTTTAACTATCGATCATTAGTTTGATAATTACAAATCACTAAAGTAAATTTGTCAAATCTAAAACATGCTTACGTTACTAACACTACCCTGCAAAATTTGGCTTCGGAACGTTGAATTGTCGTTTCTGAAGTATTTTTTCGCGCTAAAAGAGTAAACACCACAGTTCTTGACATATGTATTGGAGGTTATTTACCAACGCAACTTACCCTTCCTCTGTTACCAGCATCGCGACCAGCGTTGAATACTTTCAGAGCCAGAGCGTTCCTGTTCAATCGAACGACATCACCTAGACAGCATAGCTGCTGGATTTTAATTCGCTGCACTATGTCCATATCGATGTAAAGGTCTTACAGCTCATCATTATATTGCCTGCGGTATTCGCCATTGCCAAAGCGTAAGGGCTTGTAAATCTTTCAAGGAGCCAAGAGCCGCTTTATCAGATGTGTTCATTGTTCGTGCCTACGTGCCATGCACCAATATAGGCATGATGAGTGACTTATAGATTATGATTTTTGTACGACGAGAGAGGACTTTACTTTTCAATTGCCTACTCAGTCCAAAGTAGCACTTGTTGGCAAGAGTGATTTTCCATTGAATTTCAAGACTGACATTATTATTGGTGTTGATGCTGGTTCTCAAATAAACAATTTGTCTACTTTTACAAACTTGTATGTAAATATCAACTGGGATCTGGGTGCCAAGACGCTTATCCGCGACTGCTTGTGTGATGACAAGAGATACTCCGTTTTGTCCTCGTTGACCGCCAGTCCCATTCGCTTTGCTTCTCTATCTGCTTCTCTATCTGATCTCGAGAACGCGGCATACGCGGTTCAGTTTCGCCGTTCTTATTATCTTCTCTAACATGAGATTAAATAAATCACATGAAAGGGAGTCACATTGCCTGAAACATGGTATTAAACGGCTCGGAGATGTCCTTCCTAATTCTAATTATATTATCATTATATTATATTATTAGTTTTGCGGGATTCCAAATTCAGACATCGCAGCATAGATAAAACTTCTTTTCGCGCAGTCTAAAGGGGCTTTGAAATCGACAAATAGATGGAGCGTGTCGATTTGGCGAATGGTGGATTTTCCAGGCCTAAAGCCCCACTGATAAGGCCCAATCAGCTCATTGATGGTGGGCTTCGGTCTTTCACACAATACACTCTATAGGAGTTGTAACCTATGCTTAGAAGGCTGCCTTGTGGATTAGGCAGAGCACACTTAAGGCATTATAGTATCTACAAAAAATTTTGACTTCTCATTGCCCTCTTCTTAGTATTTGTGTATAGAGGACAAAGATAAGGTAACCTTAACCGCCATTAAATTCCAGCCGTATAGTCGCTATTCGTACCTCGTCAAAGTCAGGTGGTGGAACATCGACTCCATCGTCATCGACTGGGGGCTCGGTTAGCCTTCTCCGCTACTTTTAGTGCTGCTTCTATTCAATAGAGTGAAATAAAGTTTCTTCCGTAACTTAAGTACGTTCTTAACATCGGTCTCTAGGTCGCCATAGTTGTTTTTACAAGAATACGCCCTGGTATTGAACCCTTTCGTAAATCGCCTAACTCGCTGGTAAAATTTTCGGGCGCTTATCCTATTGGCCAGCATTTCAAGCTCTTCGCATTCACGTATTTCGGTCTCTATCTTCTTATTGTGACAAATACGTCCCGCTTTCCTCTTCAGATCCCTATAACGTTCCCACATGGCTCGGGTTGCGCCCGATCGCAGCGTGGCTCTGTAGGCGGCATCTTTTTTCTGTGCAGCTTTTTGACAGACCTAATCGCACCTGTTGTTCTTTCAGGGTCGCTGAATTTCGAATACTTCTTCGGCGGTGGTACTTTATCAGTAGGAAATGTGGTTCCACTGCTCGCGTATGTCGGTTTGTTGAAGAGTGCTCTCAATGGGCAGGTATGAGTGTCGAGGGGCTAGGGTTCGAACGATACTATCGATATTGAGTAAGCATCGATACTGAGGGTATAAAAATGAGTACTTTAATACTCACAGTATCGAATACTTTTTAAAAACATTATTAAAACACATTTTACATTTTTTCTTCCATTGGCAACCCAATTTTCTTTGCCTATATGGATTATGATCATTCAATTTTGTCCATCACTTAAGATAACTGAAATTTCGTGTAGTCTGTTGCATAACGTAAACCAAATAAGTTAAAGTTTAATGGCCTTATTCATAAAAAATAAAGTAGGTTTAAAGAGCTTAATAAAATGACATCATACATACATTTTTCAGTTTATAAACCTTTTTTTTTGTGAATAAGGCCGTAAAACTTTACGCAAAGTTCACGAAAATGCAGAATATTTAGAAAATTTTTGGGTATGCAGTTTTGTAACCTATTCAACTTTACGTGTAGCCTCCCAGCAAAAAACACGATTACCACAGGAACGAAAGTAGAAACGAGCTAGGCGATGGGAATCGCTTACCTTTTCGCTTCAAGAAGGCCTTATTTTAACATGGGCATGTCATTGGAGGTAAGCCCTTACCCGCAGCATTACCTTCAAACGAAGGGAGAACGCATGGATAAACAGAATCCAGAGAAGCGAACAAAGAATGCCTTACAGAGAAACTAATGTAGAATGCCTAGATAAGTACTTACTTATTTATATTAAATTTAAATCAGAAAATGTATTAAAAGATTAAAATTAATTAAAATTTTTATAAATCAGCTTTTATACAAACATATGTATGTTTGTATAAAGACCCCAGATGCTAAAGATTTATTAAAGATTATTTTGAGAGGCAAAGCAAGCGCAGGACATTTTATAAGAAGGATAGGGGAGATACCATCTATATCCATCTTAGTAGACGGTTTAAGATCTTTAATACCATCCTCAACGTCTTCTAACGACAGACTCAAAAGGCCGCTCCATCGGAAGGCCACATTTTTCAAAAAGTTGTCCGTAATTACCAAATATCGATTCAAAAAATTTTTAGAATTTTTTTTTGTGAAAATTTAAAAAATTTAAAATTATTTTTCAAAAATATAATTTTTGAAAACCCTCACAACCAACATTTTCATGCTGTATAACTGGAACAATTTTCAAAATTTTTAAAAATCCTTTAGTGTCTGTTTTTTTTTACCTAGCATTGAATTTCACTAAATTGTAGATTATTCTAAAGACCAATAGTAAATCATGATATATTTGCCGTCTGACTCTTATATTTATAGCTAATATATGAGTTAAATGCAGAGTATAGTTAATACATTTCTTTTTATTAAAAAAGTCGAAAAAAGTCGAACAAAATCGACTTTTCTTCGTGGATCGGTCGACTTTTAAAGTCGGCTGTACAGAGTCGATCGAAAAGTCGAAAGTCGACTTTCTAGTGAAGTCGAACAACCCTATGTACTTCCTCACTCTCGTACTTCACTTCATCGACTGACTTCAACTTCGCTGCAAATTGAACAAAGCAAAACATGATTTTTATGCGAGACAAATTTCCACAGAAAGTAACGGTAGAAAAAGAACTTTTGGATATTCATTCGATTTTTCAGCTGACTACGATGCAGATTTCTACTTTGCATTCTTGGAAATGAAGCAAAGAAGCGAAACAAATAAAATATTATAGGACATTCTACTTTGCATTCCCTGAAATGAAGCAAAGAAGCGAAACAAATAAAATGTTGGAGGACATTCTACTTTGCATTCCCTGAAATGAAGTAAAGAAGCGAAACAAATAAAATATTGTAGGACATTATACTATGCTTTCCCGGAAATGAAGCAAATAAATGAATTAAAAAGGAAACATTATAGGACATTCTACTTTGCATTCCCCGAAATGAAACAAAGAAGCGAAATAAATAAAATATTGTAGGACATTCTACTTTGCAATACTAGCAATGCATAAAAGAAGCGAAAAAATTCGAAGGCATTATAATGCTATGCCTTCTAGAACACGTTACCACTAAAAGCGATTACCCATTTTTTGCTGGGCTACTACCGTTAACTTTTAATTCAAACTTGCACATTATTACAAGGAATGAAACCGAAACCCAAACCGAAACCGTAACCGTTTAAAACCGTTTCGTTTTTCAAAACCGAAACCGAAACCGTAACCGTTATCTTAACCTGAAAAGGAACGATACCGAAACCATTTCAATCACAGGTTTCAATCGGTTTCCAGAAATTTACAAAAATAATAAATAAAAATTTCTTTGAAATAAATGATTTATTTAACCAAAATCAGCAACATTTTGCTAAAATTCTTGTTAAGTAGTAAATAAGTATGGCAAGGTAACTTTTCGCAAAAATCTGCTGATGACTTTGTTGTTGTGAATCGATAATCGATTAATTATATTTAAGTAGTTTCTTTCCCATACGCAATGCGAGATCCCGCGTGTGCCCAAAATAGCCCTGAAATCATGCCTGTACTCAACAAAATGGGTAATAGAGAGCGAAAATTCGAGCTTATTCGATCGTAAGTGTATTCTTCTTCCTGCCCGAAACAGCTCGAAATTTTCTCCGAGTAAAAATGGATAAAGTGTCAAAGTGCATATCACCTGTATTGTGTTTACATGTTGCCTGCATTTACTTGGTGCTTTTAAGGAAAAGTGAATGGCCTGTTGATGTATTTTCAATCTATGTACTTAAAATCAAATTTGTGAAACCAAAATTCAATTTCCAAGTGTTTGCATTTAATACCATGTTCTGACCGACAACCAAAACATTTTTCCTTCATTTTCTTTTCATTTACAACCTTTAACTTTCATTCTTATTTTGCTTTGGCCAGG